AGTAGGTTGTGGAGAGGTGATGGTCTCACACTTACAATTTGCGGACGACACTATATTCTTTGGGGAAGCATCAGAGAACAACATTGAGGTGATTAAAGGCATTATGAGGACCTTTGAAATGGTCTCAGGATTGAAGATCGATTTCGCGAAGAGCCAATTAATGGGGGTGGGGATTGAGGAAAGTTGGAGAGTTGAAATGGCATTCAGGCTTTGCTTTAAAGAAGGGGATTTCCCATTTAAATACTTGGGAATCCCTATCGGTGGAAATAATAGAAGGGTAGCAATGTGGCAGCCAATGGTTGACTCTTTCAAAAGGAAGTTAACTAGCTGGAAGGGAAGGCATCTTTCTATGGGAGGTCGCATCACGCTCATAAATTCAGTGCTATCTAGTCTGCCTGTGTTCTTGATGTCAGCCTACGTCATCCCAAAAGGTATACTTCTTTCCATAGATAAAATTCGTAAAAGTTTTTTTATGGGGAGGGGGGGCAGAGGAGAGAAAAATAAATTGGGTAAGCTGGGAAAAGGTGTGTAGAAAAAAAGAGGAAAGAGGGCTGGGAGTGAGAGACTTAAGGAAGTTTAACTTGGCTTTGATGGGTAAATGGTGGGGGAGATTAGCAGAAAACAAAGAGGGTTTGTGGAAGAGCATAATTACTAAGAAGTATGGTAAAGGAGGTGGTCACTGGCAGGATTGGGTTAAAGAACACAGGGCAACTAGCTCAATATGGTGGAGGGATGTGTGTAGCCTTAATACAGTGGATAGGGAAAAGGTGGGATGGTTGACCGAAGGTTTTAGGATTAGCATAGGGGAGGGTAATAGGGTAAGCTTCTGGTGGGATGATTGGGGGGGAGAGGGGTGTCTTGCTAACAAATTCCCTAGATTGTATACTTTATCAATAGGAAAGGAGAGTACATGCAATCAAATGGGCAAAAACATAAATGGATCATGGGAGTGGAATCTAGTATGGAGGAGAAAATTGTTCGATTGGGAAGCTGAAGAGGCCAAACAACTCTAAAGGATGATAGCGGACGTGAAGATTTCACAAGGAAAGCCTGATGAGTGGGAGTGGGTTCACGACAAGGATGGTCATTATTCAACAAAGACGGCTTACTCATTGTTGACACAAGAGCAAAGAGGATCAAGGGGAACTGAAATCTTCAGAAGAATATGGAACCCTTTATTTCCAAGCAAAGTTTCAGCATTCAATTGGCAACTGGTGCTAGACAGAATTCCAACAAGGATGAATTTGTTAAGAAGAGGGATTACTAAGGACATGGAGGAAGGAAGGTGCGCTATATGCGGAGAAGCCGATGAGAATGCTGGGCATCTATTTTTAAATTGCAAGTGTGCTCGTTGGATATGGAAAGCTTGTGCTAAATGGTGGGGAGCTAAGATATTATTCGGAACAGATTGCTGGAACACTTTTCAAAATTTTGGAGCATGGACCAAGAATAAACACACTAGAGAAGGATGGGACTGTATATGGAATACTGTTATTTGGTCCATATGGCTATCTCGAAACCAGAAAATATTTCAGGATAAAGAGATAAATCTGGGGAAACTATTTGAACTCATCCAACTAAGATCCTTCCTATGGATTAAAGCAACAAATGACAGGTATGCCTTCAGTTTAACTGATTGGCTAATTAATCCTATTATTTGTTTGAAAGTCACAAATGGTTCAGGAAGGCTTCATTGAGAATTTAACTGTCTGTAGTGTTGTTCTTGATCTATGGGGTTATTTAAGTTGTAATCAATGCATGCTCCATGACTTTGCGTGCCAGTGGGTTTGACAAATGGGAAGGTTTTGTGGATCTGAACAGTGATTTATGAAGAAACTGCAATAGTGGACAGAAGCTCGACATGGGTATAGTGTCGACACGTTCTTTTGGTGTCGACGCCTTATGGTCAGCATCCAAAACCCCGACGCGGACGTGGTGTTGACACATATTTTGGGTGTCGACACTATATGGCAGGCGTCCAAAACATTTAATTTGATACCTGTCAAGTATGATGTATGGGTTTGGAGTACCCCTTGTACTCCGATTATTAATAAATATTAATTTTTGCTGTTCAAAAAAAAAAAAAAAAAGGACAAATCAATGGCCAACCCAATGAAGCATACATCACCCCTCCGGCACGATCATCCGAACGACAGCAACAAGGAAGGATTTACAAGCGTCAACAACCAACAAGGAAGGATAACAATGGTCCTCAATGTGCCAATTACAGGAGACAAACAAACAAGTCATTGTAACCAATTCTAAGGGTGTCAACCAGTCGTTGCAAGAGGCAATGAAACATAAAGGCGGATCCTTGGATATGGATAATTCAATTCAAGCAACAATCCCAATATTATCCAGCCTACTACTTCTTGAGATCGGTAAAGGAAAAGCTTTTAACCGTAAAGGCAATTCAACAACTCGTTTTTGCCATGTTTTGGCTAAAGCAAGATGACGTGCTAAACTTTCGCCTAGGCCTGGCAAACGAACAAGCCGGGCAAGGTAAGGTTGAATCAAAACAGGTCACGGGTTAAACGAGTTAAGTTATAATAGATCACAAGTTATTAAAAGTTGATCTTAATCCACTTCTTACGGGTTATGGGTTAAACTGTGGGTTGATCTCAATTGAACCTTTTTTTTGGCTTTCTTTCTCTTTCAAAATCTAAAAAAATGAGTATTGGAAAAAAGCCAACCAACAAAGTTCTATAAATAGACTCTTAATTAATTCTAATTCCAAAAATTTAAGAATTGAAATAGGTTAAAAAAAAAAAAAAGTCTTGGTATTGCGGCATCACTGCATTATCAATTAGAAAAAATTAACGTAGGTAAGTGATGTGGCTGGTTGTGTGGCTATGCAAAGAAAGAAATATTAAAAAATGATATTTATGGGAAAAAATTAGGGATAAGCAATGAAAAACAATAAATTTATAGATAAAATAACTTATTAATATGTTTAATTCTAAGACTATAACAACAATGAAAAATATTTTGCAAGCACTCATCAACCAGATAAAGTTTTAAATTCTTTCAGTGATATAAATTTTCACCGACAAAGCACATGTTGCTGATACTTAAATTTGCAATTTATAAATTTCATCAACAACAAAATTAGGCCTTATTAGAACACTTTATAAGCAACATATATCAACGATTAGAAACAGAAACAATAAAATAGAACAAGCAGTGAACCGAAGTACCACAGCCGAATTTGCTGATAATGAGCATAATGCGACTCCACGATATTCCCTTGAGTGTCATCACTGGGAGATGAGAGAACGTAGACAAGGACGGTCAAGACAAGGACGTAGAGCTGCACGACAACATTGGAGACGATGGTGACACCATTGTTGAATCCCTTCCTTCTCCGCTATTCTAGTTTTACTTCTGCTGTGATTTCTGCTCTTCTTGGAGGAAATGAGTCGTGGAGTGTGGCCAAAGTGCATATTTTAGGGTAGAAATTGTTTTTCAATCATTTGATTATTTTAATAAAATCAAATAAATTATTAGATTAAAACAAATGGATCAATCAGGTCAGTCCTGTTAGTCTATTAGGTCAATCTTGTTAGTCTATTAGGTCAATCTATCATTGACTCGTGGCTTAATAAGTTCTTTTAATAGGTTATTAATAGATCACAAGTTAGAAATGTCTTATCTAAATATGTTTTAAATAAGTAGGTCACAAGTGGGTTAACGGGTCAGACCAAAAATTGTCA